AAGTGGCTATACTATCTAATATGTTATTTCTTTTGTTTGTTTACACTAAAAGCAATGTAAAAAACTGGATTTCAGGCCTCAACTTGGCAACCTTAACTAACTTCTCATGAATATCATGCAAGGTGCTTTGAGTGGTTTTGAATATTACTTAATGTACCATGCTTTTTGGTTTTCTATGTAAAATTAAATACAGATTAACATATTTCAGAATTTTTTTTTTTTGACATACAGGGTTTTTAATGGTTGTTAACATTTCAAATATCTGTCATGTTGTTCAGTTATTTAATCAGTCCATCTTAGCAACATGTGTGTGACCTATGTGTGGGTTGCCATAGTAATATTTCTTCTACTTCCTGCCCCTTCGGGTTTCTGTATGTATATGTCACCATGGAAACTGTCATATTCTTTTGCGCCAGTTGTCCTTTTGTCTAAAAAAAGAAGAAAAACCACATGCTGCGCTGCACTGTGCTGAATCTCCAGATGGCATTAGTCATCTAACTGCATGGTGCGCGTGCATTTAAAGTCATTATTCTTTCCAGCCAAGCATTTGTCACATGTGAGCGCAAAATAGCAGCAGCAATGACAGCTTGATTTCTTTTTTTTTTTCCATGTTTTTATGTAGGATTCAGGCAATAGATTCCAGTTTTTTTTAAAGCTTGCTATTGCAAGTCTTGTGATGTCAGGAAATCAATTGACAATAAATAACTCTGACTTTAAGTGTACATGAAAGTCATAACTATTCAATGTTTTGAAGGAATAAACTTATATATATATATATATATATATATATATATATATATATTTATATATATTTAAAGAAATATGGTTAATTCAGGATAATTTCTTAACCAGTGTTAACTTGTTATTGTCACGTTGGGCAGAAGTTTTGGAGGACCCAAATGCAGAGACTGAAGCTGGTGTGGTATCTTAATAAATTCACAAGGCGATAACTAAGGCAAAAAATTCAAAAATAACAAAGACAGAAAACCAAAGTCTAGAAGACATTAGGGAAAACAAACATATGGAGCCAGGAAACAACAAGGAACCAGCAAAAAGTGACTGAACAGGAGGTGTATNAAGACAGAAAACCAAAGTCTAGAAGACATTAGGGAAAACAAACATATGGAGCCAGGAAACAACAAGGAACCAGCAAAAAGTGACTGAACAGGAGGGTGTATAAAGGAGAGACTCTACAAAGACTAGGTTAATCAGCAGATTGGGAGCAGGTGTGGACAGAGGACTCAAGAAGGGAGCTAGGATGAGGAGACTGATACAAGAGGGCAACAGAGGATAAACAAGAAATACATAAGAACCAAAAAAAAATATATAACCAAAAACTACTAGAATAACAAAAAATGAAAATTAAACCAATACACAGAAAGACTTGATTATATAAGTATAACCGCTAACTAAAAAGAAAACTTAAACAGAACCAAAAAGTGCAGAATCATAATAATTAGGCTGTTAACTTGCAGAGTTAAATTAAAATGCAAATGCTTGCTCTTAAAAAAAAAAGACTTTTCAAAAGTTTTTACTCAAAATCATCTTTAAAATAGTCTTTTATATGACTTTTTACCATTAAAACATCATTGATGAGCAGACTGAGACCTTAGTAGTTCAGCGCTGATGCATCTATAATAACACTTTCCCTAAATGCCCTTCGGGTTGGAAGTTCCCACGCTGTTTCAACGGTTGTGACGTCAACTGCGTCCATGATAAATGGCTCCAACAAAGCAAACAATTGAAGCTAGATGAATTTTGTGAATACTCAGAAGCGACCAGCATCAACTCAGACACCAATGACAACTCCCCAAGAAAAAAAATAAAATAAATCCTTGTCGCATACGAGAACAAGCAGAAGACTGCTGCAGTTCTGTGCAGTTCTTTTGAAAAAAAAACTTTGCTGCCTTTTGAATGTGTTTATTTCATGAAGATTAACTGACAAAAAATAGATAGTATATTCAATTAGAAAGGTGCAACTTGTGTTGTTCACCAAGTAGGGTTGGACAAAATTACATTGTGTAGTTACATAATTAGAAATGGCCTGGAACTACTTATATTAGATTTTTGTGATTTCTTCTTGTGCCACTCTATAAACAAAAAATTGGAAAAGGATGACATCATTTTTTGACCTCATAAGTATCTTAGTAGGCTATATGCCCCAATGCACTACTTCTTGAGTCCTAGCCAGCTCCTTTGATTCTGCTCTTTCATTACTGAACAAACAGATTAATCCAGGTGTGTGCAATCTCAGTAATCAGAATGACCAGACACACCTGGATTAAACTGTTTGCCCAGTAATGAAAATCGCGAAACAAATGAGTTGACTGAATTTCAGGAAGTAGTGGAGTTCGGAATATAGCCCATTACACTTGAATAGTTTTTAAATGATTATAAGCTTGAAATCAAAAACACACCTTTGCCTATTGTAACTGCAGGATCTAGATTTTAGCCAGATTTATTGTAACACAAAATATCTAAACATATTTCACATCATATGCCGAAATCTACATAATGAATGCCTTCAGAGCTATTATTGCTCCCTACCCTGACAATTGTCTGATGTGCAGTCTGTGAATAAATGAATGCACTGTCTTTGAATGGAATTTGTGGGCCTGTAATATATGATCTCATTAACCTTAATGGTTCTCAGTTTAATTTTAGGAAATTGGCCATGATATTGTCATGCATGTGTGTTTTGTACTGCTCATTAGTTCTATTGATACAGCTAGAAACTAATTACCGCATGCTCTGTTTAATATGGACATAATAGTAGCTGGCTGTCATTACAACAAGAGTAAAGTAACAGAGCTCCTAATCAGCTTAGTCTTTTTGTTTTCTGTTATGTAACCATGAGGACAATACCCCTTGCATTATGTGCAGCATTTGTATCCTCTGTAAAGAACCATCTTTGAAAATCGACAGTAGCATTGATTTCCAATAGTTTAAAAGTCAAAATCAAGATATAGGTGTCTGTCATCTGGAGTACAAGCAATGTGCTATGGTGCATAAGCTGTTTATTCTTAATTGATGACAAATGACATAAAATATTTGCTTTTGGTCAAGTTTGTAATATCTTTCTTTGGACGCTCTTACAGGTCAAGCAGGTTTATTTTTGCAAGGGCCCAGCAGTCAAGCTTGCGTTTAATCTACAACATCACTCCCCGCCAGCATTCCCAACGTTTCACTAGAGCTCATCCACCCCCTTCAAACATCCTGCCGGGCAGAACCAACTTGATCGTCGGCCGCCCTTCTTATCAAACTCTTTTTCTTTTTCCGACCTGTTGTCTTTTCTTTTGCTGCAGACTTGTGGTCATGCAAGGGCATGTGCATCTCTGTGCAGCAGTAAGCTATGAGCGAGGTCACACAGGAGGCAAAAGGCTTTCCTCAGTCAGTGATAAGAAATGGCCTACACAAGCATGCACTCGCAGCAACACAGAACAGCTGTGATGGATGAAATGCTTCATGAAAGGCTGCAACATGCCTTGTTGACTGTTCTTACATTTGCCGACATATTTCTAGGGTTTGTAGATCTGAAATTAATTCTGTCATAAGGAGATAAAAAGATATGGTCTGTCTGCAAAATTACTAAATTATATAAACACAGACACATTTAGATGAAACTGTTAAGCCATCTGTCTGAAAAAGGCATTAGATAGACTTTTGCAAAGTCGTCTCTTTCCTTTTTTTTCTCAGACACAAGAATGCATGACCGGAGATTGAGGTGACTCAACAGTTCATCTTGGGCAGGTCTGTCTTAGGTTTCCAGCAACCCATTACTATTTACTTAAGTCCAATTTCACCCTAAGGCTCTTAAACAGCTCCTCTCCCTCTGAAATGTTTACAGAGCAAGAGGGTTTGCTTTTATACCATACAGTGGGTTCCATCTGTAGAGAATGCAGATACTATTAAAATCAACAACTTGTTTTTTGGGTTTTTTCACATCTATATATATCTATTATCCATTTGGTTTGTTCTGTAAAACTTTTAATCTGAAGTAATTAAGCCATACACAGGCTTTACCTCCATACTAAATAGTTTAGGAAAATATTTTCCTGGAACACCTTTAGCCAAGTTCAGGTTGTTTATTTAAAATTTCCAAGCATTAATGGTGACAATTGACAATACTAAAATAAATTGAACATGATTGATTCCACAATGGATAAATTAGCTCTCTGCATTTAACCCATCCTCATTGGAGCTAATGGGTCTTGCTCAGAGAGGCAGTATGTGGGTTTGGGTTTTGAACCCACAGCTTCAGGGTTCCAAACCCTATGCACTAATCACTAGCCACCACTCCCCATTTCTGTATAATTTTTGACAAACATGTAAAACAAATTTTGCAGAAGGAAACAAAACCTTCAACATGTTTAGAATACAACAAAGCATACTAATAGGTCCACCTTAAAATAAAGAAAGCATGCATTAACTGAATAATTGAATTTTCTTTAATTAATCACTTTATTAAATGTGTTTTACTTAATAAATACAATATAACCTGTTAACATTGTGGATAATTGCGCTTTTTTCATTGCATTTAATGACCAAGACACACTGAATGTTAAATGTCCGCTGTTAGCAGTATCTTTTCAAAGCACCAACACATTTTGGTTTATAAAAGGGAAGATAAGTAAGCCTTTTCCTCCCCTCTGTCCTAATTCCGCTTTATTTCTTCTTCTTTATGCTATAATATTGCACAATTATGGAAACCATAGCAACAGAACAATAACATAATATGGTGAACATTTGCATTTAAAGGATGATATTTTGAAAGAAGATTACAAGGACTAAACGCTTGTTTTTCTTCACCACCTGGATTCTGGTGTTGCTAACGTTCTTTTGTCTGGGACAAAATTGCATTTTGGCAGAATTAAAAGAAAATTACAAGTTCCCCAGAGTCTGGGACTTTAATTTTTTTCTTTTGTCAGCAGGTGCATTAGTCTCTTCTTTAAGGTTGCAGGCTTTTGTTAATTTTGCTTCATTTTTTTTCTCGTTCTCAGGGAGATTTCACCTGGAGCAGCCTGTCAGGGCGGAGTGTACGCCTGACTCCTGTCGCCATCCAGAGCCTGTCAGAGCTGGAAAGAGCCAGGCTGCAGGAAGTAGCCTATACCCGCTTACTCCAGGACTATGACCTGGGATGTCAAATAACAATCCCAAAGGGTGAGAGTGCTTTCATTTATAAAACAAAAACTCTGATAGCTGCAATCAAACAGTGTGGAACTTATGTATTTGTTATTTTGTTAATTTTATTAACTGCAAAAAGCATCATAAACTGGAAACTAAACCTTCTAATTTTGCATACCCAGATCTATTTCAATCAATTTATTCAAGATGACACACAGTTCCATTATGATCACTGATCATGCGTGGACTCTATTCTAAGACAACTTGTTATTGGTCCGAGTTTCAGGAAGTTATGAAAAAGACACATTTAGATGTAAGCCACACTTCATGTAGGAATTTGATGCTTCCTGTTAGACATGGTATCTCATGACCCTGCTGGTAGTGACATGTGACTTTTTCCAGTTTAAGTGGATTCTTCATTTAGTTATCGCTGTGAAAAAAACTGTGTTAAACTAAAGCAATGCTTGTACACTGCAAAAAAATGTCAGATGTTTTAAATTTAGTGTATTTAATATTAATTTAAGTACGTGAATAAGATGATTTGCCAATGGAATTAGTTTCTTTACTCTTAAAATAAGTTATTGAATAAAATGCCCTTAAAATAATACATTGTAATAGTTTTTTTTTTTTTTTGGTTTAAATTGTGTAAATTGTCTTGTTCCATTGGCAAAGTGTCTACCTTGTCTCCTAAATAAAAAAGCACCTATTTTAAGAAAAAAAAAAACATTTTTAGTTTTCAATTTTTTGCAGTGTACTTGTTTGTTCTCTTTTCCTGTTTACTTTTTTTTCCCTGTTACAAGGTAAACATCTGTCTGGTAAAATAACAAAAAAAAAAAAACAATTTACGTTAATGTGGCACAAGAGTATTCAGACAGTCTGGTTTTTCACTAGGCTCGCCCATGCTAAATGTTCCACCATGAATCTAAAACTAGAGAAAAAGTCAACATAAAAAAATAACTGTTTTTCTTTTTTATATAGTTATAGATTATTTCTTGATGAATCACTTGGTATTTTTAAGGTTTTACTCGTATTGATTGGAGGCAATACCAACTATAGAATGTTATCAAACACTAAGGAGCTGATCCTTAGAAGGTTCACTCATATTAAAACAGGTACAAATGAGTTTGTACATGCAGAGCAGAGCTTTAAAGAAGGTACAAAGTAATTTGCATTTTTATTTCAGCACAGTGTGTACAAACTATTTTTTGCGTCTTTGCCTTGATCAAAGTAGATCATGTTCTAATGACGAAATATTTACCATGTGTAAAGCTATTTTTACAATCAAAAACCTTTTGCATATTTTTTAGTACTTTGTCAGTTCACATACAAACATCACACAAATCTGCTGTGTTTATTGCTACATATGAAGCATTGGCACAAAGCTGAGGATGCAGATGATCTGTTTACATAATACTGTATATATAAACATATTTTGACCATTGAAAATATTAATAGTAGATTAAATTTAAGGAAGAAATAAAGTCTACACAGGGAGCACATATTAATGCAGACAATCTTTATACAGTAAAAGTACATTTAGAGAAATGTCTGCGTCACATTTATATAAATAGAATATTAAATGAGCCGGCAAATAGATGCTATGTTTTATTTTCTTTTACGCTTTGAGACAGGCTACAAGGTGCACTATACATATTATTTAGCATTTAACTCAAAACGGGCCGAAACTAATTTTAATATTTATGAAGAAATCATTGTACATCTCCTGCAACACACCAATTTATTGCACATACAAATAAAAGATGCACAAGCAGTTTGGGATATCTTCTTTGCAATCTTGAAGGATAAAGCCCCAAGTTGGAAGCCTTGATATATATTCAGAGGTTAATCCGCCCACTCAAACACACACCTGTCTATTCAGATTATTTCTATCAGACCGTGTGGGGCCATCCTCATTCTAGGTAATCCCAAGGGATTATCAGACTTTAATCCTGTCAAAATGATTTCAACACCAGCAGATTGTTTCCCACCTTTTATTTTTCATCCACATTGAGGTTTGTTATATAGAAGACAATGTACTTTATATGTTCTTTGCTAGAGGGGTAAGTGCCATCACAAGTTTGTGCTGACTCCATGCTCTACACTAACCCCACACGGTGAAGGAAATTTTCTTTGGATGACTCGGCTGCAGGCTTCCCAAGTAGTGCAAGCAATTTATACGCACCTCAAACATGTTTTATCTGTTTGTTTTTTAGGTTTCCAGATTTCTGGATTTCCTCACTATAGCATTTTTCCTGCCTTTCCTCCAGAGATTACGTCTTGCTTTTGCAAAAGGCAGTAACAGATCCACGTCATGTACACTGAGGCCTGCATTTGCTCCACTATACTCTATATAGCATTGGGGTTAGTTCATAGCAGCAGTGTAGAACGGCTAATGGATTATCCAGGGCCTTGCATTCCAGCTGAAGGTTAAACCTCTCCCTACCATGATTTAATGCATGCTTATCTGTGTTGCTTATGAATTCCAGAGCTCCCGACTGCTGCCATGTGCAGGCGAGGGATATATTTCAAATGGACAAGTGTCTGCATCTGTGGGGGCTATTTCAGCTAATACTTGTTTTCCATTCCTAGTTTTGCATCAGTGGGTCGAATTTTTTGGCGTTTCTTCAAGAACAGAGCAGATTAAAGAAAGACAGAATGAAGACAGACAAAAAAAAAGGACGAGATGAAGATGTGATGCGACAGAAAGTCGGTTGAGGTTCATCAGATTGAGTTGCAAACAGGTCTGGGGCAGAAACGGAGAGTGTGGAGGTTTTGGGGGATTTTCTTACGGCTTTGGGACCCATCTGTCAAAAAATCCAAACCATTTCCTATCTTGGCTTCTCCCATCTTTCATTCTTCCTCGCCTCCATCACAACATCTGCTTCGGTTTCTCCTCACAGTTTGCAACCCCATCCTCACTGGTGTCATGTCACAGACGCTCTGAAGTATGGGTACTTTTAGTTACTTAAAAAAAATAATTCAAGTAGCCCTCAGCCTAAAGTTCACGAGTCACAACTTATTCAGATTAGTGGGAGGGGGGGTGGATATTTATTGTGACTAGATCTGCTTCCCTACATAACATCGCTTTGTCTAAATTCACATTTCTCTTTGCAGAAGAGTTAAAACTCAGTCAGAATGGATTAAAATAATTTATCTATAACCTTTGAACGCTTGTGACATTCACAGTTGGGATTAGTTATGGACTTGCATTCAAGCACATGGATGCTTTGATCTAAACCAGCTGTAGCTTCTGACCGAACTGATAAAAAGCATTCCTATAGAATCTTGTTGCCTCTAGTTTTTGTAACCATGGGGATGCCTTAAGGGTGATTTGAAGACTTTTCTTTTTTGCTTATCACATTTTTTTTTTAATCTGACCAAAAGGTTCAATATTGAGACCAGTACTTTTTCTAGGGTGTCTTTAAACCACTTTTCCAAAAAGACTTGAAATGTGGAATGAAGGACCGGTAGTCACTAGACCTATTTAACTGCCTTTGTTGTGAATCTTTGCAACACTTCTAGAATTGCCATTGGCTTCTGTGCTACTTTTCCGATTAATGATTTCTTTTGCTGGATTTTTAGGCTTAATCATTTAGTTTCTATACAGTTCTATATTCTTTTCCATTTTCTGATGTTGGATTCTTTAATATGTTTAAATTCTGAGCTATAGTTTTATGACATAAGCTATTCAAAGGTATTCAATTACAACTTCTTATGCAGTTTTTTTTCCCTCTTTTTCGTTGCTTTATCTCATAAAACCACATTTGGTTTGTCCTTTTATTTTGAAAAATATAAAGTCCAAAAGAAATAAATATATATTCAAAGCTCTTTAAAAAAGAAACACTCAAAACTTTATGAAGTCCTTAAGTTCAAACTGAGGTTATCAAGCCAATAGTGGAAATTTCTGAAAACAGGGACCTTAAAAATGAAGGGGTTAGCTTTCGACACTATTAACACAAAAATTCGAGTTAAAATTTTTCCACGCGATTACATCATGATCCTAGACGAGGCCTTAAAGAGACTTAAAACTTGCATGCGTTTCGATTTCCAGAGCTTCCTGCGTGTTAATCAGCAGATCCAAGAGTCATTTATCATGCTGGGAGCTGACAGAGCTGCTTCCTTCCATCCAAACACAAATATCCTCATGGATTGCAAGCAGAAACTGAGCTATTGGCTGAATAGCTCTGGTATTAACTCTTTTTGTGCTGATTCATGCAGTTGTTGATGTTTTTTTCATTCAATCATTTGCATTTTTGAAACGAGTCAACAACATTAAGAAGGATCAAAAGAGGAATGTTGACCGAGTAATTTGAAGCTTACCATGTATGGTGCTGTAAAAGCAAAGAAAAAGAAAGACGGTTAAGAGTTTGAATAAGCAATCTAACTAATTATGTTTTTTTTTTTTTTTTTTTGCTGTGGCTGCTACTATTTCTAACCTGACTGTTTATTGAATCGGTTTCCCCCTCTGGTTAATTTATGTCTGCATTCCTGGAATAATTTTATTAAATAAGAGCCAGATAAGAAACTGCAGATATGGGAACTGTTTGTTTCACATGATTTGTTAACTCTTTTGTTTTTTCCTCCTCTGTGGCAGATGGACAGAAGAGGAAAAAGTCATTAAGAAGAAAGCTGGACTCTCTAGCCAAAGAAAAGAGTAAAGACAAAGGTAAGCCGAAGTCCCATGAACATTGCAAATAATCTTAAACTTAAAAATCTGTCCCATCCTGCTCTGTTATCAGCATTTTTAAAGTTGCCATTTTGCGGACCCCATACATTATGCAGGCGGATAATGAGGTTGTAAAAATAGCACCTGTTCTCCAGCTTAAAGTTTAAAGTGAATCGAATCTGTGTAGGAGATGCTGGTATTTACTGAACAGCAGCTTAATCTGAAAGGCTGCACACATAACTTGACTTCAATTTATACAATGTGCCAAAATGTTTCTTTCCTTCAAAGGGAAAGATGCACATATTCTTAAAGTTATTTTTGGCTGGCCAAAAATTAAAAGTCAGAATGGATTGTCAAAAGGACATAATTTTTAAAGGTACCTGTCAAAATAAGACGATGCAATGTATTAGAAATAATGGCAAACATAGGATTTTTTTTCTTTTTTTGCAATTAATGAAAACACAAGAAGGGAAGTAGTCAGAAGGGCTACCAAGAAGAAATTGAAGGAGCCACTGGAGTTTTTGTTTGTTAATTACATGCAACCACAAATTCCTTATGCATCAGGACTGTGCAGTAGGGGGGCCATATGGACATTTTCTTATATAGAAAAAAAATGCTAAAACTTTCAAACACAAGACAATGTGGAAGAAGTGTGTTATATCGATGTTTAGTACAAAATAGAGTTGAAACAATTAACCGAATGAATCAATCAATGATTGAAATAATCGTCAATTAATCTAATAATCAATAAATCGTCAATTGGAGTGCAAAGACTGTAAAACATTCCTTTAGCTCACAGAGTAATCCACTTAGAACAGTAATCATGCCAAGATTGTAAAAAATTATATAACCATTTTGCATTTAACATAAAACAAAACATTTTCATCTGTCAATATGCTCTATCTAGAGCACCTAGTTTAATTTCTTAAAAAGTCTTCTGTAACGAACCTTTGGCTATCCGTTTATTAATCGAAAAAATAATCTACAGATTAATGGATTTGCAAAATAATCATTAGCAGCAGCCCTAGTACAAATACAACTCTAAACATCCTTGAAAAGCACACTATAGAGACGGTGGAGCATGGGGAGGCCTTTTTTCTTAGCCTGGAACTTCCATTTTAGATACAGAGACTTATAGACAAGTCTAAATAGCATTGAAAGCTGGCATAACACCTCTACACTTCAGCTAAGAAGGTGAGGAAGGAATTCATCTTTCAGCACAAACACCAGAAGCATCCATCCTAATCAACTAAAGAGAAGGAATGCAAAAAAGAAAGAAATGTCCTGCCAAAACCTGAACCTTGAAAATGTATGGGTTGATCTGAACACGGCTGTGCCTCTGAGAATATTATCGCTATCTGATGGCTTTGGGTCACGCAAAGCATCATGACGATAGGTACCAATCCATAAACAGGTAGTGCTTTACTAACAAAAGTGGTTTCAAGTTTAATTCAAAGGTGTGTGCCTTTATAAGACTACATTTATTAGTTTCCCCCCTTAAAAGTTTTCAATTTGGTTTTCAGTTTAGTTGTATAGGTTTCTGGGCATATTAAAGGTAGAAAAACTACAACATTTATTTTTCATGGACCTTTTTTTTGTTTTAATCCTCAGAAAAGCCTGCTAGTTTAACAAAAGCGTGCAGGTTTTGTATACCCACTAAGTGCACAAATGGAATTTGTTTAAAATTTAAAGTAACATTTCTGGCACGCAGCTATTGGTGTAAATCCAAATGACGCCAAGGCTTCTCCATTCCAGCTGTGCAAATAGTTCGGTTTCACATGAGCTCACGTTGAGGAGAATAACAAAGTCAGGAGATTCATTTGTGCCTTCAAGAAGTATGTCAGTTTGAAACTGTTATTATAAGCCTGGCATATTTGTCTTCTCTTACACCATTGCATAAAGAGCTCAGACATATCTGCATGTAAAACTGTTTAATTTTCTAAATACATGGTCTAAAATATCAACCTTAATTTTCAGTAAGAAGAGTTTAGTCTCATCTATGGACAAATAGAAAATATAAATTCTGTTGCAGAAATCAGGTCTCCAGACACAAATATGGCTCATTTACTCTACATAGAGCATTAAGGGAGTCTAATTCCTTATCTCAATAAATTATTAGAAAAAGATATTTGACCAAACCTTCTTTTTAACATTTTAACAGCTTTTGTGGATTTACAAGTTAATCCAATCCCATCTTAATACATTACAATACACAATTCCAACTGTGCACCACTTTCCCCGGGGCTATTTTGATATATCTGGCAGCATGTGAAATGTGGTTTGGCTGTGGACTCATCTGTGAAATCCAATAATCAGAGTCACATCGACTTTAAATGCATTTCTATGTGTATATGTGATTATGTAAGGCCTTTTAATGCGGTGAGGCTGCAGAGCAAACCCACTGTGTCACAATGTAAGCTGTCATGTTGTTCGGAAACCACAGCCCTGCATTTGTGGTTGTGGAATGCATTTTGTGTTCCCTCTCCTTGTTTTTCTCTTACTCATGGAGCAGTGCAGCTGGATAAGTTTTCTAAAACACAGAATGATTCTTTGTGATTTTGCATCATAGCGCTCTACGTGCTTTTTGTTATGACTGCTGGCAAAACTTTGGGAAACCGGATTTTTGTCAGAAGGATAGCGTTTACTCTTCATGAACACTTTCAGATGTTTGGAGCATGGGAAGGATTATTCTGTGTGTGAAAATTTCTCTATTGATTTAGCCAAATGTTTTGCTTTATTGTCTTGTTGAGAGACCCCATGAAGACCCATTTTCAGTTTTCAAGCAGAGTATAATATCCTTGCGTAACTGTTTGAACCTGATGAAAGATGTTGCATATTACTGTTGGTAAATGTGAAATTAAATTCAACTTTCCAGGGACTTTTTTAATGTATTAAAGGTATAGTTGAAGATTGTTGCAAATTTTTTAAAAGATCCGCCCTCTTTAAAACTTAAAAAAAAAAATAATTACATGTGCAACCCTGTACTCACTTCTGAGAGGGAACACCTACAGTATTAAATGCTTGAAAGAGCATGCAGGAGCCCATTTCTCCTAATGCATGCTCTGTTTAAAAGTTCCTGTTTGCAACGCTCATCCAAGTTTACTTTCCAAAAGAAGATTTGCAATTTTTCCACTATTTCAGACTCACAAACGTTAAGTGAAAGTGGGGACAAGCAAGTAGGACGGCCTTACGTAAACATATCACCAGAATGATTGACAATTAGGAGGACCACTTATTTAGATGATCCATCCGGAAAAAGAACATCCTCCACTATACCTTTAAGTTTAGCCACTGGTTTATTATTAAAAAGACTAAAGTTTTAAATTAAGTTTAGATGGGTTTGGCTACCTTATGGCATAAAAAGTGTAAAATTTGATTGTTTTAATGTTAGAATTTTATTTAAATTAGATTTTATTGTTAACAGTTGTAATACTGATGATTTACTCTAAAAATGAAAGATAATACATTAGTGAAAATGGGTATGAGCACGTAGGACGACCTTACGTAAACATATTATTTTGATGATCCCAGAAAAAAAAAAAACATCCTCCACTATACCTTTGAGTATTTTTTACAAAGATGAACAACAATCTATTTTAGAAATTTAGAATCATTAGAATCATATTATAGAGAAAGATGCATTTCTAAGTATTTTCTTGAAAATGTACTGGTATTTTCAAGAAATGAAATTAAGCAGATTTTATGACAAGTGAAACAGGCCAACAGCTTTACAAGTCCTCCATTACAATGAGCAGAAGGCAGGAAGGGCTTTTCTCCATAGTTAGAAGCTTGACACACTCCAGAGATGTGTCTACAGTAGAGAAATAAGTCCAGAAAAGGCCTTTTTTTTTTTTTTGGTAGAATGCCTCTCTAACAACAAACACCAAAGACTTGTAGCGTCTTAGCTTTACTTTTGCAACTTAGAGACTTAAAATATGGACAAGTTGCTCAGTTCCTGTTTCTTGACATCTTAGGAATGCATGTTCTCTTATTTCTCACTCTGAAGCATTTGTATTGCATGAACCTTCATTTATTTTAAAGCACATTATTAATAAAGGTGATACAGCTAAGTAAAAGAAGTTTATAACCCCAAAATATGAAATAACTTTTTAATAAAACACAACCTACTATTTTTATCAAATATCTGCTATAGGGAATCTGTTGCCATCTTAAACAAACAAGAGTTAATTTGTATTTTTAGCTTTTAAAGATAAGGAATGACATAAAACGATTCATAAAGCTGAAGCATGGCTTTTCTTCTGTAGGGTATTATTTTAAGTTAAAAAAAAAAATAATATTATTGAAACAGTTTGCAAGCAGATTAATGGAAAAAAAGCTCTAAAAAACGTTCTTGTCCTTTTAATGTCATTCTGTTGTAAGAATTCAATTCAAATATTTATAATTAAAAACCACTAAAGCTTCTAAGACTGGTATTTGTTATTAAAGTATATTAGTTTGTTCTTTAAATGTTTTTTAGCCACTATTAAGACCCAGGGTTTAAAGAGACATGTGGCTGTGGAGCTTGCAGACCCCTGATAGAGTGAAACTGGACATCATTGATAACTTATTTGGGGATTGCTTGACATTCTGGTCAATTTAATGAAAGTATTTATTTAGAAATGATGATGCCACTAAAGCAGAATTTACATTAAAACATTTTAAAGATATTTTTAAGGCTGTCGACAAGTTTGTATACAAAATCCAGATGTTAGCACTGATTATGTCATTTTTTCTGTCTAGTCTGCCAATCTACAATATTTAATGAGTAGGAAGATTAGAACAAAGTTCCTTGAGTTACTTTTTTTTAACTCTAAAAAGCCACCATAAATGACCTAAATGAAGAACTCTGCATTGCCTGGAAGTGAGCCATCCATGTTATTTTGGTATGCTTTAAAATAAGGCGGCAACTTCATGGTTTCTCTGATGAATTATTTTGGAAAACAGATGCTGCACTTTAATCACGGCGTAAGACTTTTTACTGACATGGTAAACATGCTTTTTGATGCTTTTATTGCGTTTGTGTAAAAAGCCAAGCAAAAACAGATGGGATAAGGAGACTGTGTTTTCTATCTTCAGACCTATTTTTGGTAGTTTTATGCTTCAGTCTTTTTCTAACTTGCATTTCAAAGAGCCTGCCTTCTTTCCCCTCCTCTCTGTCTCTATCACATAAGAGTGCGTACCCCAGGCCTTTAGCATACCCCTTTCCCAGGTCATCGCTAATGACAGAGCACACAGACAGCGACAGGATGCTTACCGCCTGGACCCCCCACAGCGGGAGGAGCACAAAGACTCCTCTGACCTTGTGTCATCAATTTTGCAGGTGTGTAATCCCTACATTTTAGTTAAAATGCATTTCAATGAGTGAAAGCTTTTGATTTTCTGCCAGAACGCCCATATTCATCATTTATAGCAGGTTTCTAGGTCTGAATGAGCCCCAATGCATCACAACACATCCTTGTTGAGATTTTTATTAAGATTTTTTTTTTTTGTAATATCTTAGTGTTATGCCAGGCTTAACCTGTTAAAAGCTCATAAGTCCGCTGAATCTGTGCTCAAAAGGACTCAAAAAAGCTTCAAGATATTTTGTGGCAAATTACCCTACTGTGATTTGAACTTTGATGGATGTTTCTTTATAGTTTGCCACCAAGCGGCCATCGAACAAAGAATTGTCCAGCAGTAACTCCTCACTCAGCTCCACGTCAGAGACGGCCAATGAGTCAACGTCACCCAACACCCCTGAGTCTGCACCACGTGTTCGCAGGAGGGTAAGAGAGACCTTTAAGAATCTGCCTTTCTATCCCAGAATCCCAAACCTAGATCCCCTTGTTTTTGTATGTTAAATTTACTGAACTTAGATTGAATCAAATGCATGATTACCCACCAGGGTGGCATGTCCGTGGATTCCATCACAGACCTGGACGACAACCAGTCCCGCCTTCTAGAGGCGTTGCAGCTCTCCCTGCCAGCTGAAACGCCGAGTAAGAAGGAAAAGCACAGGGACAAACGTCTAAGCCTGAATCCCATCTATCGTCAGGTTCCCCGGGTGGTGGACAGCTGCTGTCAGCACATCGAGAAATACGGTGGGCAGAGTCCCAACTTCAGCAATCTTTACATACAGTGCACAATTCATGTTTAAACTGAGCTAATTGTTGTTTTTTCCTCTCTTTTTTTATTTTTAGGTTTGCAGACTGTGGGGATCTTCAGAGTGGGAAGCTCTAAGAAGAGAGTAAGACAAGTGAGTGCTCCTAATTCTTTTCTTTTTCTATCCAATTAGTGGAAATTCTTCATGACTTGAGCAAATCATAGAAGCATGCAGATTATCAACACAGGGTGACTCACTTATTAAGTTTTTTGGTTCTCTGGTTTTAGAGCGGTGATGTTTCCTGTTAACTGTTCCAAAGTTTCAAGTGATATTTGAGCCGATATGTTATTTTTTGCCTTGTGATATGGTGCTACATAATACTGGAACATTCACACCTAACCACCTGGACTGTTGGAAGAAGACGAACTTGGAAAATATTTTGATCCCACACTTACTTAACGTCATTATTCTTGGATAGAAGAGGGAATAATCCTATTCTGTTGGATGAAAAGAAATCCCACACATCCATTCCAGCCCAGTTTTTTTTTAAAGATTAAATGATGATTAGCGTTTAATGTGTATTGAGGTGATGACAAAAGGTTATATTCCCAGATCATAACTTCCTGCTGCTTTGAAAATAAAGGAAAGTGCACAACTGGAGTAGCAACATAATTCACCCTTGGAAATAACTTATATCTTATACCTTCCATGATCTGTGATGCCCTTCAGAAGTATTTAACTCCTTTAACTACAACCGCAGCCTGCCTTGAATTTTTAAAGTGGATGAAGAAAGCCAGTGTTGTTAAAAGTTGTGAGACAGTTTATCAAAAGCCTGTGTAAAGAAACAAAGGTTGATCAGAGGCAACTAAAGGAGAACTTCCTGGCCTACAACCAAAACTGTGATGGAAACCTAACAGTATTTTATCCTGAATCCATGGAGAAAGCATCATACTTTGGGTCATGCTTAATAAAAAGCATCCTAGAAGATAACAGGCAAATATTCACCTCCAAAAAGTACTACAACCCTAAAAACACAGCCAAGGTTACAATGGTGATTTAGATCCAGGCATATTAGTGATAAGATAGGCTTACTCAAAGTCCTGAACTTTATCCAGTTAGGACAGGACTTGAAAACCTGTTTAACCATGGGTGAATTTGAACTTCAGCTATTTTTGGAAGAGAAAGAAAAAAAAATTTGGCAAAAAAGTTTAGTGGTGAAAAGCTGATAGTGACGTACCCCAAATGACTTGTTGCTGCTTGCAGCAAGAGGTTGTTCCACAGCTTCTTGACCCAAATTGGCCCCCGTATAAATCCACATCACACCTAAAGATGTTATAAAAGCACCTAGTAATGGACTTATTGGACTCAATGTGAAGTTGGATGTTTTACAATGCATTCACAGTTCACCTGAAAAATTGCAGATCTTTCTGGTAGACATTTTTGGAAGGAGTTTCGGGGCTTATCTTGGATCCCTAGATTAAAACATTTTCTTCTTCATGGTTTACAACTTGAAGAGTCAAAACAAAACAGACCAAAGCGTCCATAAATTAGCATTTCTTACATTTTTTTTTAAGCATAAGCGTAGATATTATCATCATGCAAACTGTAGCCGCATTGTTGTTATCTGCAGTAATGGCTGGGAGGTAATGGATGGACGGGTGTTTAGGGAGGGTTGACGTTTTGGTGGGACAATCAAACCATTTAGTCATGCTGATATGTTTTGTTTAGAAATGCTGACCTAAGATCAACAGCCTTTTTTTGTCTATAAATCGTACTCTTTATATCATATTAATGCACATTTCTCAAATCTGAATGATTTCACTTGTTGGATGGGATATGTTTTAAATCATCTTCTCATCTTAAAAAAAAAAGAACTGGAATCAGCTTTATGCATGTCTGGATGTCATCCAAAAGGCTACATGGTCAAGATTATAACTCATACGGGTAGAAGTAGTCTGGATGGAGTCTTTTAGTGGGTCAAAAGGTCAGGAATGTGTATGGGTGTGTCCCTTCAAAGAATATAATGTCCATTGTTTAGCGCAGAGGATGTTTCTGAATCTCCGTCTTCCTCTCCTTCGCCTGGCTTTTGCTCGGCCCTTAGCTGCGGGAGGAGTTTGATCGGGGTATCGATGTGCAGCTGGATGAGGAGCACAGCGTACATGATGTGGCAGCTCTGCTAAAGGAGTTCCTCAGGGACATGCCTGACCCTCTTCTAACCAGGGAGCTCTACACAGCCTTCATCAACACCACATGTGAGCCTGAACTATTTGCTACTTTCTGTTTACCACATTGCTCTAAAAAAAGTGGACTGCAAAAAATACAATAACAGTAGGCTGATTTTCCTCAAAATAAGTGATTTTTTTTCTTGAATTAAGCAGATAAATTAGAAAATTTACATTTAAAATAAGAAGAAATTAAATGCATCTACATCTTATCTTAAATGCATATCTAATATTTTATTTCAAGGGTAAAAATACTTATTTTCCTAATTACCCACACAAATTAAGGGTAAATCCACGTATTTTATGGAATTATTTCCAGATTTTTAGATCACTCTTGCAGTGCACCGTTTCCTTTTTTTATTTTGTTTCTCAAAATTAAAAACTTTATCCTACATAGATTTTTTTGGAAGTATATATAAAAGCAGGTTTTACTTAGGTGGGAAAAAACCAAACCCAGAACTGATTACCTGACCTTTATTTTTCGGAATTAACAAAAGGATGCAAACAGGAAGATTTGTAAAGGTGACACATTTGAAAGGGATTGGATAAAATTGGTTAAAAAACTCAACCCACGGCTGACCAAAAAGCACTGTTTCCCATTTTCTGCAACACATTATGATAATCAACAAACCTATATGGAAATTATTCTTAACTAAAGAGAAGTTGTACTTTTCACAAGGTGTGTTTCCTCATTACACCTTTAATTAAACAAACCCATCCTTTTGAAAGTAACATCTGATCCACTGTAAGGACTGGTATTATTATGAGGGGCTCAGGCTGCTTTATTGTTGCACAACCTAGATACATTCCCAACCTGTAATTTTTAAAACTGCATATTTGACTTTCTACCAAAATATCCTGCAGGAAAATGTCCTCCAATCATTTCCCACATTGCAGCACAACAGTTATCCAAACACTAACATGTCAACTGGATAAGGGTTCAAAACCAAAACATATTAAAATAGTGATTTTGGAGTTGCAGAAACTTAATCAGGATGCTAAATTTCATGTCACTTCTCTTTTGTTTTCCTTCTAACTTTTTTCAATCTGGATTTTTGCTGCAGTGTTGGAGCTGGATGAGCAGCACAGCGTCACTCAGCTGCTCATTTACCTGCTCCCAGCATGCAACAGTGACACTCTGCATCGCCTGCTTGAGTTCCTGTCCACCGTGGCAGACCATGCCAACGACCAGCACACAAAGGAGGGTCAGGAGGTGAGGGTGGAGCATGAGTTCCAGAATATAAAGCTGCAGGTTGAGTAAACATCAAGTTGAAATATCTTCAGCAGTTTCTTTCCACCTCATTCGGTGAAAACAGCCAAAAATAAGGGACAGGTAGAACCTCATTTAAATGAGGTCTATTTGCAGCTTTTAATAGCTGGAAGAGAAAATGCACTGTTGGAAGATTACTAAGAAGCCTTGTAGTGACTCTGACATCAGGTATTAAGTGGATGGCAGCACTTATTCCCAGATCTGAAAACTAAACCACTGGGCTTCTGACATTTAGCTTCCATTAACCGAAAAGGAAATGGCTGCAAACGGCCAAAGTTTAGGTCAGAGTAAGTCAGAATCAGTAAACATGTTCTCCTTTGGGAAAATACAAGGCTGCGAAACATTCTAAAAGTGTCTAAATGTATTTGTACTATTTGAAACAGACCTACAAGAACAACAACCAAGGGTCCAGTTTATATGACTTGCAGAAAAAAAAAAAAATCTTCAAATCCTTGAAGAAAAAAAAAAAGAGGATTATCCTCTGGTTTTATTAGTCCGATTAAATGCATGAAGTGGTCCTTTGCATAAAGTCTCGGCTATGTTCCATTTAAAGAGCTTAACATTATAATTAGTACTTATTTAGTACTAAAAAAAGGAAAGTAAATAAAAAAAGTTGAAGGTTTTGCCGTTTTTTGCAACATTCAAGTGTTCAAGACATCCAGGGCTTTAAGTTTCTACATTGTTTTTATCATATTGGGATGCTACTTTGCTTCCCTTAGTTTATTTTGGTTTGAGGGGGTTGATTGATGCAGGGTTTAATTAAGAAAAATTAGTATCAATATGACTCCTTTTTGACATATTTTGGAATTTTACTGAAGTCTTCATTTTTTTTCCCCTTTAAACCATGAGGGATTTTTATTTTCCCTCAAGTAGTAGTTTTGTTTTGTTTTTCCAGAGAGTTAGTGTTTCTTGGACATGCGCCTCAACAAAATGAAAATATATTTCCTAAGTGAAATATGTTTACATGACAATGAACCCCAGATACTGTGGTCGTGCGTGCTGTTCCTACATGAATTTAAGGCCACTGTGTTCCGAGTCTTGCACAGGAAGTCCGACTGTTTTACTCTAGACTGGGAAGACCTTTCCATTGCTTTTTTGGCTGCTAGTGGTTCCCATCCCTCCACAGGAACTGGGAGTGGAATAGGGGCTGTAGTGGACAAGTGAAAGCAAACGGGATTTAGACTTTCAAACATTTAAGGAGATTATATCTAAAATCCACCTTGTCAGAACATTTTTTTGGGAAAATGAAAACACGTACTAAATGTGTCCAAGTGGACAAAAACAGAGCACCAAATATTAAGCAAAACTATAGCATGGATATTGTTGGGATCATTTTAATTGATGATGTAAGAGTCTGTTAAACCCTAATAATACCTATTACATGTCAAAATTAATGTTTTCCCAAGTAGTTAATCTAATTAGGACAGTTCTTCTGTCATGATGTATAGTTATCATATTCATTATGTACTGTATTTTTTGGACTATAAGCCACTACTTTTCCCCCCGCTTGGAACCATGCGGCTTATAAGAAGGTGCGGTTTTTCCTAACCGCCATAGGGGGAAGTCAGAGTTGGACATGAAAGTATAAGGGGATAAATTTAATTTAGCACAAGAACATGACACAGACACAACGGAGAACAAATGTCCGGAATTCACAGATTTTGCCATTTATTTGCCTCATTAAAGCTGCCGAACCAATCAAGATACTGGGCTCATCTTTCAGTAGAAGCTCTTAGGTGGCTTAGTGGTTAGGGCATTGCTCTAGGGTCCCAGTGGTTCTGAGTTCAAGTCCCACACACTCCCACAGACTGCAATTCTGGGTCCCTAAGCAAGACCCTTAATTGCAAATGTCAAGTGAACAGTTGAGTAAATTTACATTTTTACTGTTGCGAGCCAACAAGCAGGAGCTAGGATTCTTTTTCGTCCGTACTCCAGGGGCTATATGTAGAACTCCCCCTATAGGTTTGATGGGAGACAGTTCAGTAGATATCAGCCCGATTATAGCCAGGTGCAGCTTATATATGTACGATTCCAGTTTTTTCAAAAAATTTTGTCGGCACGGCTTATTGTGAGGTGAGCTCTATAGGCTGGGAATTATGGTACATAATAGAGATTTGGAAATGAAATGGGGGCACAGACAAAGAGGATCTCTCTTAACAGTGCGTTCTCTGTGCTTTTCTGTGGGACACTGAGTAATAGTTTGGTACGGCTGGAGACAGGGATCCAAACATTTACAAATGTGTATGATGATAAATGAAAAGTTTCTTTAACTGGGATTTGGGGCCAACTTCATGGAGAAGGGAATCCGGTTAGTAAGCACTGCCATCAGTAAATATAAGCAATTTCTCTGCTCCAAGTAAGATTATTATTTCTGTCAAAATCTCTTCTCAGAAAAGAATTAATGATTTTCAACACAGAGCTTTTCTTTTATAATATGTAAAGTATTTATCTTAGTTATTATTAAACAGTTTTCCATTTCACAAAGAGAGTTTATACAACTTCTGTAACCTTTACCGTACCAACATTCTCCCCTTAGCTAACCTGGTTGGGAGCAGGTTTTATTCAGTAAACTCAGTGTCCTCTGTCTTCACCCTCCTTAAAGCCAAAAATACATGCCCCACCTTTCAAAGTTGTATTTGCAAATATATAAATACATACAAAATTCATGCCTCATGTTAATTTTGCTGCCTTTGCATCCTAATTTCAGATTCCAGGGAACAAAATGACATCTTTAAACCTCGCCACCATCTTTGGGCCTAACCTGCTCCACAAACAGAAGAGCTCAGATAAAGAGTTCAGCGTCCAGAGCTCAGCCAGGGCGGAGGAGAGCACCGCCGTCATCGCGGTGCTGCAGAGGATGATCGCTGGTTGTCAAACGCTCTTCATGGTTCGTGGCTCTGCTTATACATACAGTACACACACTCACTCATAGTTGCTTGGAGTCGCCTTTAAGAAGAGTACTCAGTGGCTCAAAATTTTTAGACCAAGATTAAAGGCTCTAATCCTTCATGAGCTCCCCTTTCTTGTAGTTAAATTTTTTTTTCTTTAGGTCAGTTCAGTATTAAGAATATTTGCGTCAAATTTCTAATCTTTTAATGTCTCTGAGCCATACATTTTTACGCTAATCCAGTGCTAAGTGGGCATTACCTTAGTCTTAGGTAGTGGAATGTAAGTTGTAGGAAGCTCAGGTTTTTGTTTAAAGGGGTCATAAAATGATTATACAGTATAGGGTGTTTGGTGCTGGTCCTTAAGGTCTCTGAATAGGGTGTATAACATTGGTCTGGCTGAAAATGGCATATTTGCTGTTCTATGAGCCCTAATGCAAGCCTGTTTATAAACCCTAGAATCAAAGCGTATGGTATGCTCATGAATTGGTTGGTTTACAATGAGGGAAGCTGCTGAGCAAATACGCATCATAGCAACTAGCACTTACTCACTGAAACGTTAAATTGTTGATGTGGTAGGGTGACCAGATTTCCTCTTTTTCCCGGACATATTCTATTTTACATACCTAAAAAAATGTCCAGGGGGAATTTCAAAATCGTCCGGAATTTTGGTCGTCTACAGTGCAGCACGTAGTGAAAACACACCAGGCATTCGAACCAAACCGTGAGCTCCGGGGCTGGTCCGGGAACCCCTGCTCACGGGGGCAGAGAGCAGGAGGGGACGAAGTGACCGAACCCAACCCAGTGATGGTACGATTTGGAGCTGACGGCTCGGTTCGAATGCCCAGTCTGGTCCAGTCAGCGGCCCAGTCAGCAGCTCAGCTGCTGTCCATGATTCTAAAAGGTGTCTTCGGTAAAATGATTAGAGCAAATGAACAGCTGAGCATCAAACTTTGCAGGGATCTTCTGATAGACAAAATATAATCCATGCCTGTCAAGTCTTCGGATCCTTGGGAAGACAGTGAAAATGTTCCCCTTTCTCTGTGCAGCCTGGAACACTGAATTTACACCCGTGGTTCTGGCTAATTTTCAATGGAGAAACTACCTGCTTTGTAATTCTTGTAGAAGTAAATGCAACTGCAGGTTAAACAGCTGAACTTGTGTCTTACATCTACACCCGTTTATGTTCTTGGGCCAGTGAACCAGTGGGCTGGTCTGTATGTCAATTTCGGAGCGTGACAAAAGTACAGGCCAGAACCAAATAAGGCAACATCCCCGAGTTGATGTCAATTCAGTGCTTTGTTTGGATTCGCCCATTTTATGGTGGAAGTTTAGAATTGTGAGATCTGCAGAGAAAGGAGGCGTCAATGGCGTTTGTATGTCCATTTCACCCACTCTACTATCCTTATTCATCTATGACAATGTAAATTTGGTTTTGCATTCTATGACCACTTTAATGTCAAGGCTGAAATTTTTGCCCATTAAACTTGCGTTTCTATAACCTCTGAATTTAACCATTTTGTTAAAGATCTGATACAGAAAGACAGTAGTAAATTTCTTTTTAGTGCATTAATTAAGGAATTCAATCAAGTTGAATTTGGTTTACAGGTCCCCCCTGATCTGCAGAATGAAGTTTTGATGAGCCTTTTGGAGACTGATCCAGATGTGGTTGACTACCTTCTTAGGAGGAAAGCCTCACAGTGAGTTCCATTCACTCACTATCTTGTCTCGCTTTTCTTTGGCAGCCTCTATCCTGCCCTAATTTTCCTTTTAACCACAGGAGTCCTGACCTCCTTCAGCCCGAAGAGCCCTTCAGTCTGAGCGAACGACGTTCGTCCAGCGATTCAAACAAGGTGTCTAGTGGGGAAGTTTCTCCTTATGACAACAATTCGCCAGTGCTGAGTGAGCGCAGAGGGGACCCAGGGAGTCTGGCCGGTGATCAGCAGTTCCCTGTGGTGGAGTCGGTGGCTGACTGGGGTCGAGAGCCTTCAAAAGGTCAGCACTGCAGAGAATATTGATGCAGCCTGTCTCTTCTCTGTCCTTTAAGTAACTTTGTAAGATTTTCTTTTCCTTTTTCAGAGGAACATGCCAACATTTGGGGCACGTGGCACAGCACTCTCAAACCAGCTCTCAAGAACCAATCATATGCAAGTACGTTTTTTTTATCCCTCAAGAACACCTTTTACTTCGACATTTAAGAATGATTCAATATTAAAGTACAAAAGTGGAAAGTTTTCCTGAGATGGTCAACTTATCAATAAAACTACTGAGACATGTCCTAATTTGTCAATTAGTGATGCAATAATTTTCTTTAAGCAATAATCTTAAAATAAAAATATATTGACTTTGTGGATTAGAGACTCATCTTTTTAAAATTGCATTATCCATACAATTAAATAAATAATATTTTTTTTGGAACTGTAGAATCCTTTATCAGCAAAGCATAGCGGTGGTAGTATTATGCTTTTGTAAATGGTTTGCTGCATCCAGAACTTTAAAGCTCTACTTTTTATTTTTATTTTTTTTTTACACAATCATGTCTTTCAACTCTAAGTGGACCTTATTTGGTTCCTTCTTAAATAAAATATGACCAGCACTATTGCTTCATTTGCTCTTTTAGTATGTTATTAATACTTTCCATTTTGATTTGTTAGACAGGAAAAGTGAAAAAGGGAATTTCTAAAAGTTAAAGTTATGAAAAATTTAAATTTGAAGAAATATATTTGCGTATTCAAATGATTGTCATAAGAATATGTTTAAATTGTTATTTGTATAAATAATGGTATATTTTTCCCTCTCCTTTTTGATTGCAAATGATGAGTATTACTAATGTACTAATGCCGTTTCTAGGTTCCCATGGCAACATGTCAGAGGAAAGCTCTCGCAGCTCTCAGGAAGGTCTTGATGGTCTCCATAGTGATGTCAAAGTCCCGACAGACACAAAACGAACTCACACAGCACTAGAGTGCAGAACCCACCCTCATGTATCCCGCCTGTGCACAGCCCCTCACTCAGACACAGGGCGACCTCGCCTGCAGCTGAACATTAACCCTACTATGACATCCCACCTGAACAGCATGCCGGGCTCCCTTCGATTCCCAAGCGAAGGACGCTCCCCTCCCCCTTACAATGCCCATCACCGTGTGGCCAGCTCTCAGAGCTCCCCGCAGCTTGCAACACCTTCACGGCCTCAGCTGCAACTGGGCAGGCCGATCACGACGCACACCAACTCGGGCCAAGCGGTTCCGCCGAGTTCAGAGTGGCAGGACTGGCAGCGGGAACGGTGGCAAATCTGGCAGCTGCTCTCCTCGGACAATGCTGACACACTGCCGGAGACGCTGGTGTGATTTTGGACCGTACGCTCCAGCATAACCCCAGCTTATTTTTGTTCGTTCTTTTTCCATCTCGGCGCCATGAAGTTGTTTACATGCGCAGCTGCTGCCTTATCCGGATCTTTGTTTTTTTTTTTTTATTCTTTATATATGAACCACTAGCATTTCTTCTTTGTATGGATTTTATGACCTCTCTTTTTCAGCCCTTATGTTTCTTGAGTTAGGAGCCCACCAAAAATACCTCAAATTATATAAACCTTTGAGAATAAACACCAAGTATTCTGCTATGTCAGCTTCGCCTAATCGATGGAAAATATTTGCTTCTTTGCAGTTTTTAAAAATATTTTATTGCTTTTTTTTTTTTTTTTACACAAATTATGATGTACACATTATTTGCTGCTAATATTTTTGTGCATACTATTAAATTTATTCAGCCACATGCTTTAATGTTAAATGTTGGACTGTATCATATGTAATATAATGTAACATATGTATGTTGTTTTCCTCAGAATATCTACCTAAAATCAAAACAGTTTCTTTGCTTGTTAAAAGTTTTTGTCCATATTCCGTTATTCTAAAGTAAGTTTGAACAGAAGTAACGTGCTTTAAACCCGTGTTGGACTGCGGAAACATTGTGCCAAACTCTACTATAGGAACTTGAGTTTTCAGGATTGTTTTGGGTCTGCTATTTTCTTTCATGGGCATTTGGACAATTTCAGAGATTGTGATAAGATTTCTTTATGTTTGCAATGAAAAAAATGAAAACATTTTTTTTTAAAATTCAGATATGATAAACATCCCCAAAAGGTTTGAAAAAAAAAAGTGTTTATACTTTTAATTTTGTAGATTTTTGTAAAAAAAAAACAACAACAACATATTTTTTAATCTTTAAAATTCTAAAACTAGGTTGTGCTTTTTCAATAATTATCTTCTTCCCAGGTAAAGTTGTATTTCCCCCAAGAAATTCCACCTGAGGACTAAGAAAAGATTGATTTTGTGTTCTATTTCTGTTTTGATTTCATCAAATGTTTCAGTTATCTTTTTGAAAGGACAATATCTTTTCAGTCCTTGTATTTTTAATGTACTTCCCTGTCTATTTGGATAAAACAAAGGGTTCAACATGATCACAGATCCTCTAATTTACTCAAAAAGGGGCTTTTCCAAACTTCTGTTCCTTATTTTACTCCAGGCCTACTTGGTGCCTAGTTACAGATGACATTTGCAAGCCATTTGCAGTTGCATGCCTACTAAAAAATTATTTGGAAAATGGGTGAATTAGATTTTTACAACATTTTATAATTATAATTAATCCCAAATTTAAACTTAAACAGCTTTAGATCAAATCCACGTGATCTGCACATTCTCCTGTCTTTCCCATTGCAAGAACAGGTAAAGAGAAATGACTTTATGTGATCATATTGTCATGCATACATGACTTCTCAATAACTTTGGGAAAAATAAAAGAAATATGTGGTTATATTTACAAATTTGGGGCACAAATGGTTATTGGAAAGGTGATTTTTATAATACCATAAAAAATATTTTTTAAATTAAATCCGCTCACATACAGGCTGATTTTTCTTTCTCTTTTATTATTTAATTTTCAGTGTAAAGTGATGTCACCAGTGAAATACTAAAACAAATAAACTTTTTATAGAGGGGAACTATAAATATTTTTCAAAATATTTGAACTACCAACTGATTCTTTCATATAATGCTTTGATACATGATGTCTAAATATGACATTTTATTACACACAAAACCCAATTGTTTTACTAGATTCACCCAGTCTGTCCACCTTGTACCAGATTTCATATTGAAGTGAAATATTTGCAGGCAAATATTTCTCCACAGAACTCCCATTTGCTCAAATAAATAGCTTTTTGGACTGCTTTATTAGTAAGCATATTGTATCCACCCAGAAAAAACAAGAAGGGTCACTTTAATGCAGGTGGCGCCATCTAGTGTTTGAAAACGCACTCAAGCTTCTTCAGCTTCACGTTTCTATGGAAACCCCCCCTCCCCATCAGTGCTGAAACTCAAAAGCTTGTGACTAAAAGCACCTTCTGTAAAACTGTTAGGAACTGTGTGTGCCATGGGTCTGGTCTCTCTGTGTATAGCTCACTACTTTTATATTTTTGTGAATTTGTTCATTGTCGTAATATGAAATATAATGTATCAATTTGAACCCAAAAACGATGAAAATATGAGGAAAAAAAAAATAATCCTCATGGTTCTTGTTTAATCTCATGTCTTGTGGACTTCACTATGAAACCATCGGAATTGGTTTCATTTAGGTGGCTTTTATTGGGTCCAAAGTTGTTATATGTTTGGTTACTGCTTTTGTATTGCGTGTTCTTAGCATATGCTAACATTGCATTAAAAAAACTCTTAAGGTATTCTTGAATCGGCTTGAATGATTTGAGGATACACTGCATCAATTTTTAACCTGGGTTATATCATGTTAAATCGATTCAATTAATTGATTCAAATCCAGTGTGCTTACAGCTGCTAAATAACACAAAATGTATCTTAGAGCATTGTAAAGGAAAAAAAAAATTAATTAAAGTCTAGAGTCACTGAAACATTTCAGATCAAATAATGATTTTCAGATTAATTTTTAGTATCTGCTTATAAAGAAGTTTAATAATCCTTCCTGGAAGTAAAATATGTTGGCTAAATTTGATATACATTTTTTAGTCTATTTAAAGAAACAGTAGCAACACTTTTTTTCCTTAGTTGTGCATCTACATATACTTTATTATGAAGATGTTGCTAATAACAGGTAGGATCCCTCCTTTTCCTTAACTGGTTATATTTTAATGGCCTGTTTAGGCAGTTGTTGGAAGTTAATGAAGGCATCGTTCAGTTGCTCCCGATTTCTAAGGAGTTTGTTTAAGTTGGTCAGATTTCTTTCGTTTTTGTTGTTGTTGTTTTTTAGATTGAGATTGTTGTATGGCTCAGGAATAGAGAACTCAAATGCAGGACCTGACACAGTGGAATCAAGTTCAAGGTTCTTATAATACCATTACAATACCTTATAATAACACCAAAAATCCAATGTAAGCAGGAGTTGCAAAAACAGAGGCAGGAAAAGGTCCAGAAACAAGCCGGGTCAAAAAATGACTAGAAAGCTCATGTCAAATCAAATCAAAAAGACTTAAATGCTTGACTCAAAGGACAAAGACAAACTGGTAAAGTGAAGCTGCATGACTGAGAAATAAATATGCCAACAAACAAAGGAGGATCACATACTCCAGGTGAATGACATTAGGGTTCTAATTGCAGGGACGAACTCAGGAAGTGATGTTGCCTAAAACGAGATAGGAAATAAATACAAAATAAAACAGGAAATTATGATAAATGGTAGCACAAGTAAACTTAACTAGTCAGGACGGCCTGACAGAGATCAGGGGCCATTTTTGTCAAGCTTCTTAGAATTAGCCCTAATATCGCTCTAAAGAGTGGACAAATGAACCTAAAAGCTGGACTAGTTATTTATCTAGTGTCTCACTCACACTTTTAGCAAAGTGTAGGACAGAATTTTTAGTGTGACAGTACCTGGTGCTCTATATGAAATTCTAGATTATGTCACTTTTAAGTCCATTGAATTGACCCATTGTTGAATCAAACTTTTTACTGATGGCTGCAATGGCCTAGTGTTATCTTCAAAATTACACAAACTAAATATTGTGTTAAAATCTTGTATACCTATTGGGAACACCTAAATGTTTTTATTCTCTTTCTCAAGGTTTCTATCCAGATCTGATGTACATTGCCAAAAACAACTACTGAAAACACTTTTGTCTGCATTTACACAGCAGGGGAACAGACTGATTTATCCTTTTTTATTATGATGCTCTTATATAAGCATTACTTTGGAATCAGAGCAACTTTATTAGTCACATGCACATTGGGGACGGAAGGGAGCGTCAAGCTGGGTCATAAGACCATCCTCTAAACAGCTGGGACCCCTTTTATGCCCCTCCTTCTTCAAAGTATAAATTCATATCTTTTAAAAGAAATATATCTATCTGGTTTAGACCATAAACAGTTATGACAGTAAATTAATATAACATCATAAGTAATTTATGCTGAATGAGGGTGATCTTTTGATTTATCTTTGTATATTGTTCTGCGACAGGCTATCAGCCGCTAACTTTTTAGCAACCAGGACAAATTATTTTTATTATAAAAGATGTGATAGTGAACGATGGTCATTTTGGCAATTCTTCCATCTCTAGCCTAGACTTAGACAGCTGTTATTGTCATTTTGTATACACAAGGTTTAGTACAGCTTTCAGGCAGTAAATTAACATTTCCGTTCCATAAAGTGCAACAGTTATTAAATGTAAACAGTATGGGGAAAATAAAGTGGTGCAAAAAAAAAAAAACACATTGATATGGAAGTTCAGAGCATTAATAATATATGATGCAAATATGCAGTATTTTGGTTTGGTGTTATCGGTATGATGCAGAGTCTGTGACTTGATTTAGTATTTCTTTTCAACAGTTTAGCAGTGTGATGGCAGCGGGGAAGACACTGTTGCAGAATCTGCTGGACCTGCAGTGAATGCTGCAAAGCCTCTTCCCAGAGGGCAGCAGGGAGAACAGTGCATGGTGGATAGACTGATGCTGCTATACGTGGAGAATGAAAATGAAGCGGGAGGATGAAAACAATGAAGAAGCATTAACAGGGACAGCTTCAGCAGAATTAACAGTGGCCACTGCTGCATGCACAGAGGATCTATTTCCAACCAAAACAGACTCAGACTTGGACACCAGAGGTAATGCTATTGATAACAGACATGAAACTGAGAATGTAGAGTGGAGTAAAAGGTGAGCTTTGATCTACTACAGCACCATACTGTGATGCGGTTATTGATGCTCACAGTTGCACTTTTTGTGAATTCACAGATATTCTCAGTGGTAATTACAGCCTGAAACGTAAGTCAGACAAGACAAGGAAGACGTTATTCAGTTTTGAAATAATGGTGATCAGCTTAGGTTGTTTATGTTTTGAGCAGCCATGGTCACATTATTATATTATTTGGTCACTTAAATGCTGTTTTAATTGTATCATTGCTTTGCTGGTTGAAGTAAAGCAAAAGAAAGAGGAAAAATGGTTTGACAGAGGGGTGAAGGAAGCCATCTTTGCGGAAAAAAAGAGAAAAACAATGACTACACTGTAAAAAATTGAAATCTATACAAGCCATTTTTTTCTTAAAATAAGTGTATTTGCTCTTAGACTGAGGAGGTAAAAGAGACATCTTGCCAATGGAACAGGACAATTTACACTTAGAATATGAAAACACAATTGAATTGTCTTTTCACAAGTGCATATTATCTAATTATCTTATTTTAAGTGTAAAAATACTCATTCCATTGGCAAACCATCTCATTTACTTACTCAAATTAAGGACAAATACACTTAATTGAATAAATTTTTACTTATTTCTAGATAGTTTTTCCAGTGTAAGAGAGGGAAGACTGATGTTTCAGCTTCCAATGATTTAAAATCGTGGACCTCATTCCAACGAAATAAGAAATGATTCAAAAGACCAATCATGTAGCCCATGCACAACAAAAGACTCCAGTGATCCAGAAGAATGAGGGGTGGCTATTTGAATTGCATCTGACTTGGAATTTGTGCAGGAGGAGGGATCTCCATGCTTCTTAAATACATTAGCGCTCCAACTGCAGATTACTCTGATGCGCACAAAAAGAATTGACAAAGACTCCCATATAGGTATGGGAACATTTAAAAAAAAAAAATAAGCGACAGTCCGGTTGCATTCCAATTTAAGTCTGTTTTGTGGTTAAAAAGACCCTTATGTGTTCCTAGCATCATTCAGACGGTTTTCTCACCACTTTACCTTGTATAAGAAAGTAAATAGCTATCCATACAAGTTCAGGCTACCACAACCATGCTTGACAAACTTTAACAAAAAAAAAAGGGCCTCCAATTTTAATCAAAAGCTTAAAGAAATAAAAGGAAGTCAAAGATTCACTCACTGTATACTTTATTGCCTCCATCTGTTTGCCTTGTTGGTATTATTATGGCAGCTTTTTTGCTGCAAGTGATCAAAGCATCCTTGAGGCTGCAGTTTGTTAGGTGCTTCGGGATCAAAAGAGGCTGTGAAAGCTTTCAAGCAAGCCAGCAAAACTGCAACAAAAGTACAAGTTTGCAGAGAAAGATGACATTCTTATATGCCTAGTCTGTGATGGCTTTTTAAAAAAATGTTAGTACGAATTAGGGAAGAAATAGTGGCTCCAAGTCTCTTTATACCTCGATGTCAGTCTAGAGTTTTTAGCATCGTCTTTAAATACTCTAAAGATTTTTTCTTTTGCCTTTACCTTACAGGGCACTTTCAAAAACATTTCTGGGAAAGAAAATGATGGTGATCAGCATATATAGAAAAACAAACTTCTTAAAGACCTAACTTTAAAGAAAAGTAAATGCCTGGCAATAACTCTGGTTCCTTGTGAAGTTTTTGCATATTTTTTCATCTGTTTGGGTTTAAGAGACACACATAAAATCAGTGATACTCATTAAAATTATATAATTAAAACAAATGCAGTTCTTACATTTTTGATTTCCATAAGCAAAATAACACTAGTTTCTTTGTTTTCTATGCAATAAAAAAATCCTGTCTGGCATAAAAGATTTAAGAGAAAAAGATTTTGTAGATTTTTTTCATTTTTATTTTGGTCAAAGATCCATTTTACTCTACTAAGAAATCAAATAAAGCT